CTCCTCCTTCTCTTCTTCCTCCTCTTCCCCTTCCTTCTCTTCTTCCTCCTCTTCCTCCTCACCTGCTTCCTGCAAACCTCCAGCATGGACCTGCTCCGCATCAGGCACCAGACCTCCCCCACCAGAGAGATGAGGACGTTCACGATGTCCCTCCACTGGCCCACCGTCATCAACAAGACCAGGAGGCCGCCCATCCTGACAAAGGCGGTCTGGAAAGCCATCTGCTGGTTGGGGTTGTGGTCCTGCTCCTCTGTCGGCCGAGCGGGCGGAAGGAAGCGGGTCAGCCGGAGGAGCCGGGCAGCGCCTCCGCCTTCCACCTGAGGGAGACTGGCCACTGCTCAGGAAGGACCCCTCCCCCCCCCCAACACTCCAGGGAGGGGAAGGCCAAGCAAGACCGGGGTCTGCAGGCAGCCGTGCTTCCTGCAGCATTCGGGACACCGGGCGCCACTCACCCTGCATGTAGATGATCAGAAGCGTGTAGCAGATGGTCAGCGGCGTCCAGAACCGGATGGCCTCGGTGGTGGAGAGGAAGTCCCGGTTGATCAGAGCCACGGCCGCCAAGTTGGCCACCCCGAAGGTCACCTGGAGGGCGCGGCAGAGCAGCCGGGGGATGCCATGCCACGTGGTGAGGAGGAAGAGGCAGCCCCCGCAGTAGCGCTCCTTGCAGTGCAGCTCGTACAGCGTGGAGACGTGCCAGGCCAGGCGCCAGACGTAGTGAGTCAGGAGGGTGGCCAGCCCCACGGCCAGGAGGAGGTTCCAGGTGCGGTGAGGGGCTCCTTCCTGCAGGTAGCCGAGGCTGCAGGAGACGCCGCAGCCCAGCGAGTATTGGCAGAGCAGGTAGAGCTGGCTGCTCAGGGCCCCCTTTGAAACAAGCCTCTTTGTTACACAGACGGCTGCTTAGCCACCCACCGGCCAAGAATTCTGGGCACCACAACACAATAAAACAGCAATAGCCTTTAGACTTATACGCCGCTTCACAATTCTACCCAACCCTACTCTAAGCGGTTTACACAGTCAGCCTCTTGCCCCCAACAATCTGGGTCCTCATTTGACCCACCCCGGAAGGATGGAAGGCTGAGTCCACCTTGAGCAGTTCAGGATCGAACTGATGGCATTGGGTAGAGCCGGTCTGCAATACTGTATTCTAACCACTGAACCCCCATGGTTCTTATGTAGCAATGGCACTAGCACAGACTTATACACCACTTCACAGTGCTTATACAGCCCTCTCTAAGCGGTTTACAGAGTCAGCCTCTTGCCCCCAAACAATCTGGGTCCTCATTTTACCCACCCTGCAAGGATGGAAGGCTGAGTTGACCTTGAGGTGGTCAGGATCGAACTGCTGGCATTGGGCAGAGTTAGCCTGACATACCACATTCTAACCACCGGGACGAAAGGAAGCAATAGCTCTTAGACTTATCTACCACTTCACAGCCCTCTCTTAAGTGGTTCACAGAGTCAGCCACTTGCCCCCAACAATCTGGGTCCTCATTTGACCCACCTCGGAAGGACAGAAGGCTGAGTTTGACCTTGAGCCTGATGGGATTCGATCTGCCAAATTACAGGCAGCCGGCAGTCGGCAGAACTGCAGTACTGCCCTCTAACCACTGCGCCACCACAGTAAAAAGACCACTTCAAACGATGCAGGGCCAGTGCTGAGGCCCTGATACAACTTGCGTCTGTCCAGCCACCCCCCTTCCGTAAGCTCCATCTGCATCCAGGCCCGACCGCAGGCAGACTTTGGGGCCCACTCCATGGAGAGAAACACAAGGGCACCATGGGGTTTGTGGTTGGTGAAGCCTCAGGTTGTCCCCCCTGCCCCATTCAAATGGTGAGTGGGGGGGGGGGAAGAAAGCAAGGAAGCCACTGGCCACCTCCTGGCCGAGGCTGAGGTGGGGGCAGAGGCCTTAGCAGGAATAGAATAGAATAACAAGAGTTGGGTGGGGCCTTGGAGGTCATTTAGTCCAACCCCCTGCTTAGGCAGGAATTTGGTGCCTATCAAGTGGCCCTTAAGCCGTAGGCATTGCACAACTTTTTCTCCGGCCACATTCTGACCTGTGTCGGGGGGGGGGGGGGGGCCCGCCCCCCCCCTCCCCCCCCCTCCCCGCCCCTCCCATCCCGCCCCCCCGCCAGCCCCAATGCCGAAGCAGGAAGGAAGATGGGGGCAACCTTGTTGAGGGAAAGGATGGCGGACACTGCCCGGAGGGAGAACTCCAAGACGATCAGAGCGGCTACCCGGTGCCCCACCACGGTGAAGATGGCCGTCAGCACCACGAGATGGAGCCGGTCCAGGAAGGGCCGCTGCTGCCGGAGCTCCTCCTTCTCCTTCAGCCTGTCGGGGTCACTGGAGAGGATGACGGGGAGGGGGGAGGGGAAGTCAGGTGGATCTACGGGGCGGCCAGGTGAGCGCCCCACCCCCTGTACGGACTCGGGCAAGGGTCAGCCGTCAGCCATGGGAGGTGCCCAGGGGGGGCGGAGGGCCAGGGGTTCGCTAAGGTTCTGCGCAGTTCGGAGAACCCCAAATCCCACTCCTGGCTGGCCCTGCCAACCCCGCCACGCCCCTCCCAAGAGCATCCACGTGGCCAGTTTTGGATGCAGGTAAGGCGCCCTGCACGTGGAGGCTCAGGGAGGGTGAAGAACGCACCTCCTGGAAGTTCGGGAAGGCCGGAAACGGGCCTGTTTCCAGCTTCCAGAGAGCCTCAGGAGCCCGGGGAGGCTGTTTTCGCCTTCCTGGAGGCTCAAGGAAAGCCTCAGGAGTCCGGGAAGGGTGAAAGCACACGACTCACCATGGTGCAGGAAGTGGACTAGGCCACACCCACCATGGCCACGCCCACCCAGCCACCAGGCTAACGTGTTCGAAGCCCAAACCTGCGGAGGGCTGAAGTGGGACTTCCTTCCTCCCCACCCCCCACCCCAGGGACCTCCCAAGCGGGCCACTCACTTCAAGCACTGGATGTAGAGGTAAATCCTCATCAGGCTGCCCAGGATGCAGACGGCACAGGCCCCCACCAGCCCTGCAAGGGAAGCAGAGGTCAGCCAGAAGGTAGGGAGGGGGCTGTGGGGAGAGGGAGGGAAGGTGTAGAGGTGTGTGTGTGTGTGGGGGGTACGAGAGCTCACCCTGTAGGAGGGAGTCCACAAGGCTGGAGGTCCATGCCAGCGGGAGGAAGCCCTGCACCCAGGAGAGCATTGTGGCCTGCGCTGCGCCCAGGTTCGTCTCAATGGCCTCCCGACTCTCGGCACAGGAAGGACCTTGAGCCCAGAGTGAACAAATAAACGGGGGGAGGACGGGGGAAGGAACGGCCGTGGGCAGGCTGGCTCAGCCTTTTGCGCCTTGGGGAAGGAGGCCCTCTGCCGCTTCCTTCGCTCAGGGCCCATCCAAGGCTCCGCAGGCTGGGGGTGATGGAGCCACAGGCCACGGGAGCTTTGCTCAAAATCCTTCCCGCCCGTGGCAGGAGCTGTGGACGGCCACGAGGGGAAGCAGGAAGGGCTTCCTGCACGGGTGGGGACGGGGAGGAAGAGTTTCCCAGCTCAAGAGGGAAAGCTGTGGGGCCAAAAGAGCAGCACCCCCCTTTTTTGCAGCTGTTTCGGGCAGAGCAACCACTGAATCGGACGCACTAAGCAGGCAATCAAACATGTGTGTGTGTGTGTGTGTGTGTGTGTCTGTGTTCCTTCCCGGTGCTCTGAAGACAACAAAAGCACTTGCACCCTCGGTCCGAAGGTCCACAGCCGCCTTCTGTCCCAGTATTTGTGAAACGCCCCTTAAAGAGACGCCTTGGACAGGGAGCGCCATCGCTTCAGACTTTTCCAGAAGAGATTGGGCTGCCATTTTGTCAGAAATGGTGTCGGGGTCTCCCGCTTGGGCGGGGGGTCGGACTAGATGACCTGCAAGGTCCCTTCCAACTCTGGTTTATCTGTTATAAGGAAGTGCTGCTCCGTTTGGCTTCCCTCCCCTGGAGGACCGGAGAGACAGCCGGCGCGAGCCACAGGCCAGGCCTCCTGCCAGGGGGTGGGGGGGGGAGGAAGACACTAGGGTCCAATGGAGCCACTGCCCGTTTGCAGGCTCTTCCTTTCCCTGGGCAAACTCCCAAGCTCATCCTTCCTCCGTGCCCTCCCCCACCCATCCATCCATAGGAGCCGTCCCTCCGGCCAGGATCAGCCCCGAATGGGAGGCCGACTCTGCCCCGCCGAGTGGCTGGTCCAGCGAAGCGGGGAAGCTCACCCGCTGCCTCTGAGGGTCCTCCGGACCCATTTCTCCCCCCTTCGGCCGCTTGTGCTGGCCCCCTTTTTGTGTGTGTGTGTGGGGGGTTTCTGAGCGAGGAGCCAGAGTGGCTGGCAGTGCGGAGTCCACACAAGGGCTGCTCTCTCGTTTGTGGAAATGGAGCCTTTATTAGATATTATTTTTTTACAGAAACAGAAACGTGGGATGCGCCTGTAGCCCGTTCTTGGACCTGGTCCTGCTGCAGCGCCAGGCCAGGTGGGGTGAGGGTGAGGGTCACAGAGGAAGTCCAGGGCCATCCAGTTCGGGACGGCAATAATTCTCAGCCCCCGCCTTCCTGCACCTCTGAACTTTGGGCCCTTGGACCCGGCACCTCGTCCGTTTCCCGGCGGCTTAAAACCAAACCTGGCTCATTTTGCCAACTCAACTTTGCCCGGCCAACAAGACAATGGAAGAAGATGCTTCCAGGGAGCGACCCATAAATCTGGGGGGTGGGGGTGGAAGAGAAGCCCCCCCCCCGTTTTCCTTTCCGTGGGTGGCACCATTTTGGCCACTGTGGCTTCCCTGCCCTTGCTGGAGACGGCCGTGTTGGGACCGGCACCTGGGCACGACTAACCCCAGTGATGGTTGCAACCAATCCCACCTGTGCTCCAAGCTCACCCCTTCTCCTGGATCCCAAAAGTCAGAAGGGGCAATGGGGCCACTCCCAAGCTCTGGGCCTGCCTCCCTCCTAGGAGTTTTGGTCACCACACTATAAACAAAGAGGTTGAGACTCTGGAAACAGTGCAGAGAAGAGCATCCAGGATGATGAGGGGACTGGAGGCTAAAATATATGATGAACAGTTGCAGGAACTGGGCCTGGCTGGTCTAGGGAAAAGAAGGACCAGGGGAGACAGGAGAGCGGCCTTCCAGTATTTGAAGGGAGAGGTGGAGAACAAAAAAGAGAAAGTGGGAGAGAAAGAAAAAGAGAAAGTGGGAGGGGAGAGAAAGGAAAAAGAGGGAGAGCGGAAAAAGTGAGAAAGAACAGAAAGGGAGAGAGGAGAGGAGAAAAAGAAAGGAAGGAGAAAAAGAAAGAAAGGGAGAGAAAGAGAGAGCAAGTGAAAGTGACTGGAGGCTAAAACCTAAGATGATGAACGGTTGCAGGAACTGGGCCTGGCTGGTCTAGGGAAGAGAAGGACCAGGGGGGACAGGAGAGCAGCCTTCCAATATTTGAGGGGCTGCCCCAGAAAGGAGGAAGGGGGTCAAGCTGTTTTCTAAAGCACCTTTGAAGGCCAGACAAGGAATAATAATGGATGGAAACTGAACAAGGAGAGATTTAATCTGGAAATAAAGAGAAATTTTCTGACAGGGAGAGCAATCAACCCAAGGAACAGAAGTTGCATTCAGAACTTGTAGAAGCTTCATCACTGGAGGCTTTCAAGAAGAGACTGGACTGCCATTTGTCAGAAATGGTGTAGGGTCTCCTGCTTGGGCAGGGGGTTGGACTAGATGACCTACAAGGTCCCTTCCAACTCTGATGGTCTCTTATAGTGCCCCCCTCTGCCATTCCAGCAAAGGAGAATTCAGTGTTCCCAAAGCAGGACTTACTTTTTCTTCTCCTCTCTCAGAATCCTCTCTTTCTCTCTCTTTTCCTCCTCTTCCTTTCCTGCTTCACCCGATCTCCCTCTTCTGTGCGGAAAACCAGCGGCTTCGGCCCCGAGGGAAGAAGGACCAGATGGTTTGCCACCTCTTCTTTCTGGCCCCTGCCTTTCTGACTCTGGCCCTGGAGTGTGAGTCAAGTGTGCGTGTGTGTGTGTGTGTAGGGGGGGGGGACTCCGGGGGGGACGACGAGGCAGGAGTCAAATCCAGTCTGTCTGCTTGGAACTGTCCTTTCTCAGGTGGGTGAATTATTTGGGACCGACCCCACCACACAAACACACACACAAAAAAGGGGGGCCCGTGGTTGAAACTTCCACTTTGCTTGAAGGTTGCAACTGGCTCTGCCGGCGTCCTTCGTTGTCCGGCTGCCCTTCACTGCTCCGTATCTGGACACACACACCCCCGCAGCTGCTCGTCAGAAGGTCACAAAACGGGACAGTGAAGGAGGTAGAACCGAGGAAGCTTCTTGGATGAGAAGTGAAACGTTTTCAAAGGGAGGGGAAAACAAAGAACACACACACACACACACACACACACACACACACACAAAAGGAAGTCCAGTTGCCTTTTGGGATAATCATAACCCGGATGATTGGAGAAATCTTTGCAGAGGTTTGTCTGGAGTGGCCGGAGGTCTTCTACTCGAACGGGGGTGGGTGTTGGACTAGATGACCTCCGAGGTCCCTTCCCAACTTTGTTTGGCTGTATTTGGACGAAACTCCTGGTGCTCCTGCTGGGGGGGGGGGGAAAGGAGTCGCTCGCTCCTCCGGCCGTCCTGCTCTCCCAGGGGCCGCTGGAGGCTCCTGAACGGCTTGGGGGGGGTGTCACCTGGTGGCCTGCCACCAGGAGGTGAACCTCCTCAGCTCGTCCCAGAAAAGGAGGCTGAGGACAGTGTGTGGCCCCAGGCGGAGGTAAGCGGGGCCGAAGCCCTTGTACAGGGCCAGGACGCCTTCCTTCCCCGAGACCCGCACGACGCAGTCGAAGAAGCCGCGGTAATGCTTGCCCTGCATGGGAGGAGGAGGAAGAGGACAGTTGACGGGGTAACCTCCCCCCACAACCGCCCCACGCCCCCAGCCCAAAAACGGGGCATCGAGCCCCTCCGTTGAAGCTCACCGTGCCCGTTTCGTCCACCGGCTGGTTGTAGAGCCGCGTGCTCACCACGTCAAAGGGAGTCATGGCCACGGTCACGGCCACGCTGCTGACCATGCCCCCGGCAAGGGCCACCATCCAGCTGCCTTCCTTGAACCACTGGGAACCCGAAAGGCAGAGAAGAAGCGTTTGGGGGCGAGGGCAAAAAAATAATAATAATATCCAGGGTCCGCAGGCCACACCACGGACGCTTGGGAACGGGCCTGGGGGAAGCCGGGCGGCTGGGAAAGGCCGAAAGGGGCTCCCCAAAGCTTCTGGCTTGGACAAGCAGAGCCTCTGCTGCTGGCATACACAGATCTGAGCAATAGTGGGATTCAAATGTTTTTTTTTACTACTGGTTCTGTGGGGGTGGCGTGGCTTGGTGGGAATGGCAGGGGAAGGACACTGGAAAATCCCCATTCTCTCCCCCACCCCACTAACCTGCTTTCCAGCTCCGTTCTCCTGGGCAGGGGAACCCAAGGAGACCCAGCCGATCAGCTGGGACTCGATGGGAGGCAGAGAAGAGAGATGGGGTTGGCGGGGCCAGTCGGAGGCGGGATTGGCCGGTTCTCCAAATGACTCAAAATTTCCGCTACCGGTTCTCCAGAACTGGTCAGAACCGGCTGAAGACCCACCTCTGGATCTGAGCATGTGGGGTGGCCAACTCTTGGTCCAGCATCCGATTTGCCCGTGGGAGCCTTCCTTTCAGGGGACACACACGCACACACACACACACACAGGGCCTGCTCACCTGCTGCCTTGCCACCCACTCCCTGGCCGAGGCGAAGGTGGCCAGCTGCACCGAGGAGCCCACTGTGACGCGAGGCACCGCTCCACTCACGCCGCGCCACAGCCCCAGCAGGCCCTGCCGCTTATAGATGGCCTCAAAGGCCCCGGAGATGCTCTGCAAAGCGGCAGGAGAAGACAAGCCACTCAGCCCGGAGCCCCACATCCTCGGGCCGGGGCCAGGGAGGGAGGGGAGGTCTCCCTGAAACAGGAGGAACTTAGCCTGCAGGATCCTCCCCTCCACCGCAGGGCCAACTCTTGACCCCGGAAAGGAAAATGGCGTCGCGCTGATCCCGGCCCTGTTCAGCAGGGGCCACGCAACGGAGTCGGCTGGGCAAAAAGATCCCTCACCAGGGAAGCTGCGTCCTGGACAGACAAAAGGGTGACAGGAGCGGACTCTCTGCCGAGGCCTGGGGTGGCAAACCTGTGGCATGGGCACCAGAGGTGGCACACAGAGCCTTCTCTGGGGCCCATGAACCGTCCCCCAAGCTCAGCTCTGCATGGGCGTGCTTGCCTCCTGCCGGCCAGCTGGTCTTTGGGGGTCTCTGCTAAGCATGCAGGGAAGGGGGGGGGGGCGGACCC